ATCATGAGAAAATCACATCCACTAACAGCAAAGAAAGAGCAAATTCATCAAACACAATAACTTAGTTAAACTTAGATTCTCATTCATTTTCAGATAAACATATGCAAGCTTAACATCATGAAAGCAAATAACAGAAACAAGAGAACAAAAGAAACAAATTGTTGGGATTAGGCCCAACATAATAGGCCTAGTTGCATGCTCACAAGTCCAAGATGAGAAGACACACTCACGTGGGCCAATTGGATGCATACATATATGGACTCATGTCAGTATATGGGGCTATAAATACCACCAACTACCTCCATGCAAGGTATTAACTCCACTACGCTTCTCTCTCTGCAATTACTCTTTAAGAGCATCTTTCTCTAGAATATTGAATATTGCTAACTTGAGCGTCAAAGTGTTTTCCCCGAGCAAACATCCTCGAGAATTTTAGGTGTTGAAGCATGATGAGTTGAATTTATATACATAGTAATATTGAATTTTTGCCTTGACATTATTAATATTTGAAAAAATTTTATGAGATTTTACATGGGTTTCATTCTTTGTGCAGAAAAGGATTTGAATGCATAATAATAGGAGTTTTTGGAATTAATTGAACATCTTCTGGAAGTTGAGGGTTCTTTGGGACCTAAATGAAAGAATCTTAAGTTTCGAGATCTCAGTGCTCATCGTGCAAAACTTGGAGGATCAGATTTGAAATTTTACCATTGAAGAAATTGCAAGCCGAGGCCAAAAACCCGACACAAGTGTGGTGTCGACACATAATCAGGATGCCGACACTATGCGTCAAGCGAATAGAATTACATATTCTGTTTCTTGTTCTGTGTCGACACGTAATTAAGGGTGTTGGCACTATTCATTTAGCGTCCAAAAATCCCAATTTCCTATTTTTCTGAGTCCTATTTCTCTTCTAATAGGGTTTCTTAAACTCTATAAATACCCATTCAAAAAATCAGTTTGAGGGCTTTTGAGAGGAGACCAAGAGAGACGGTTAAGAGGAATTCAACAACAAAAGAAGATCAAGGCTTGGGATTTATATCGTCAAATTGGTTTTGTTTGTCCTCAAATTTTATTTCATGATGTTGGATACTCGTATATTCATCATGAGATTGTTGATTCTCTTTTCTTTAATTATGAACTGATTTGTCATCTAAGGTTACGATGTAGCCTGATCAATTTAATAGAGTTTTATGATTTTTATACTTTCAAGATTTATTATTTTATGTAGAGTATATATTATTGTTCTTAATGCTTTTTAATGATTGGCTACCATTAAAACTAATTTGGAGAGCATAATTGAGACCGAGAGGAGATTTTATGCAATAATTTCTAGTAATATATACCATAAATTGAACGAAAGCCAGAGATGGACCAACGTGATTTGTGCAGCATTAGTGATAAGTGGACTTAATTTTCTACGTAAACTAGGGAATTTCACATAACATAATGCATCTTTATCTATTTAAATTCATATAGAGATATAATGGATTAATAGGTGAAGATATGTTTGGTATAACTTGAGAAAGTATATCAGATAGGATAGGAAATCCCGCTGTCACATAAATAATAAATACATTGGAAGTATATTACTCTAAATTTTATATTAGTTAATTATGGTGAAATCAGATGCCTTAGAATTTTAACTCTTGATATTACTTAAAGTCAATTGAGTTTTTCTTTAATTAGTTTAGTTATTTAGTTTATTCAAATCATTAAATTTCAATTGTTCAAATAAAATTAGAATTGGTTAATTTTGGTACTGAATTAATCTACAGTTTTTGTGGGACGATACTCTATTTTCATTATTATATTACTTGAATTGACTAGTACACTTACTAGAGTGGAATTAGCTAATCAAGTTTTTGGCGCCGTTGTCGGGGACTGTATTGATTCTAATTAATATCAAGCAGATTAATTCTAGTTTTAATTTGGATTTTTTTTTTAATTTTGCAGGTGTGCAAGTTAGTGCATGACTCGTTCTGAAAATATAGAACTTGCATCTTTTAATCCTGAGATTGATCACACTTTTCATCAGTTGAAAAACCAGAGGACAACACTCATTGTTAAGCAAATTGACATCATGGCTAAAGATCCAGTAGCAAATCAAGCCATTTGAGCATTGAAGGAATATGCTTCACCTTCAATTGAAGGAACTGTTTCAAGCATAAGAAGACTAGCTATCCAAGCAAATAATTTTGAAATTAAGCCAGGAACAATTCAAATGATTCAACAATCTGTGCAATTTTGTGGGTTGCCAAGTGATGATCCTAATGCTCATATTGCTAACTTCTTAGAAATTTGTGACACTTTTAAATATGATGGAGTTTCTGATGATGCTGTTAAACTAAGGCTTTTTCCATTCTCTCTACGAGACAAGGCAAAGAATTGGTTAAATTCTTTACCTGTTGGGTCGATCACCACACGGGATATGATGGCTCAAAAATTTTTAAGTAAGGTTTTTCCTCCTGCTAAAACTGTTAAGATGCGTAACAATATTGCCACTTTTGTGCAGTTGGATATAGAGTCATTATATGAGGCATGGGAGAGATACAAAGAGTTACTCAGGAAGTGTCCACATCATGGTCTACCTATATGGTTATAGGTACACACTTTTTATAATGGTTTATTTCCTAATAATTGTATCATGATTGATGCAACTACCGGAGGATCATTAATGAGTAAAAATGTTGATGAGGGTTATAACCTCATAGAGGAGATGGCTTCGAATAGTTATCAATGGGGTTCGGAAAGATCACACATTAAGAAAAATGTTGGAATTCATGGGGTTGATGCCTTTACTGCTTTGATAGCACAAATTGAGGCTTTAAACCAAAGGTTAACTAGGATGAATGTCTCAACTATTCAAGCCACAAGCATTAATTATGACTTGTGTGGGGGAGCACATCCTAGTTTTGAATGTTTAGAAGGTAATTCTTTTATTTCTTCATCTAAACATGCTAATTTTGTTGGTTTTAATAAGCAGCAAAATAATCCATAGTCCAACACTTACAATCCTAGTTGGAAAAATCATCCAAATTTTTCATGGAGCAACAATCAGAATGTAGTAAAGCCACCTCCAGGATTTCAGCAACCACCTGAAAAAAAAAATCAGATTTGGAGGATTTGTTGAAAAAATACATTGCTATTACTGAATCAAGGTTTCAAAGTCAAGAAGCAGCAACTAAGAGCTTTGAAGCTACAGTCCAGAACCAAGGGCATCAATTCGGGAATTTAGAGGTTCAAGTAGGTCAATTGGCAAATATGATTTCTGGAAGAAACCAAGGAGCTCTACCTAACAATATAGAGATAAATCCCAAGGAACAGGTAAATGCCATAACTTTGAGAAGTGGGAAACAAATTCAAAGAGAGCAAGACATGATAAGTGAATCAAAAGAGAAAGAGAAAGAAATTCATGGGGAAGATGAAGTTCAAGAACCACCCAAACCCAAGGAAATCAAGCCATATGTGCCTTCCATTCCTTTTCCTCAGAGATTGAAGCAGCAGCAATACAATAAGGAATTTGGTAAATTTTTTGACATGCTTAAGAAATTGCACATTAACATTCCTTTTGTAGATGCAATAGCTCAGATGCCAAATTATGCAAAATTCTTGAAGAGCATCTTGACAAATAAGAGGAAATTGGAAGATTTTGCAACGGTGACTTTAAATGAGGAGTGTTCAACAATTTTACAAAATAAGCTTCCTCCTAAATTAAAAGATTTAGGGAGTTTCACCATTCCTTGCACTATTGGAAATCATCATTTTGATAAAGTTTTATGTGATTTGGGAGCAAGTATTAACTTGATGCCTTTTTCTGTTTTTAGGAAATTAGGGCTTGGAGAGCCAAAAGCAACCAATGTATCCCTTCAACTTGCAGATCGATCTATCAAATATCCAAGGGGTATAGGTGAAGATGTTCTGGTAAAAGTAGATAAGTTTATATTTCCTATTGATTTCATAGTGTTGGATATGGAAGAGGACTACGAGGTCCCTCTTATTTTAGGTCGTCCTTTTCTTGCAACTAGTAGAGCATTAATAGATGTTCAAGAGGGGAAATTGATTCTTAGAGTGCAAAATGAACAGGTTATCTTTAATGTTTTTGAAGCTATAAAATATCCTTCTAATGATATTGAAGAGGTGTTTTGCAACTAGTGACAAGATGGTTAATAAGGTTATGCAAGAAAAAGTACCTAAAAATCCACATGAGAATTTTATTGTGCAACAATAGGGAACCAAGGTCAAAGATGAGACCATTAAGGAAGGACATTCTTCAAAAGCATCTCCACCAAGTCCAAAATTAAGAAGGCCAAAATTTAAAAATCCTTGAAAACCCAATTTGGGTAATGAAGAGCCTCCAAATCGACATGAAATCTATGAAAATGTGCAACTTTACCAAGAGAATGGTGGATGCAACAAACACAAGACCACCACCGAATTATGCAATCCTGGATAATGATTTGAGATAGTCAAGCTAATGACTATAAATTAAGTGCTTATTGGGAGGCAACCCAAGTATTAAAATTTTTTTTTCATTTTATTTTTCTTTAGTTTCTTTTTATTATTACTGATTTATTTTACTTTTTCTGGTTTCAGATTAGTGCACAAGTTTGAGGGAAAATTCAAGCCTCAAGATCAACTTTGTGTATTCAAGTGCATAAAAGCTGGGAAGTTTCCTTTCTCCTTTACTTATTCTTTTAACATTGAGGACAATGTTTGATTTAAGTTTGGGGGAGGGAGATATATTTTGATACTCATACTTGCATTAGATCACATTTATGTTGTTTGCATACTAATTTTTTTTTCTTTTCTTTTCTGTTTTTCTTCTCTTTACAAAACAATTTTTTTTTTTTAGCAATTTGATCATTTAGTAGCAAAGATTTAAATATTCAGGAGTTAGAAATTCTTGAGTGCCCTATTAGAAAAATACAAAATCTAAAAAATAACACCATTATGATGAAGTTTAAGTTCATGAG